TACATATATATATTTATGGTTGGTTACCTTATGATTATCAGTGACTTGCATTTCTCACTTACCAAACATTATATTTACCACTATAGCATATCTCCAGTTATGTTGAGGCCTAAAAGTCCTATGTTATGGCCTAAAAAGGTTGCAGCAAGTTTCTACATGCTGATCGAAAGTATTTAGGAAACCACTGGCCATTGACCTCTAGTGTCACAGAGCACCACTACAGTACAGGGGTTAAGATTCACTATATAGCAATATACTGCAATACTGTAAGCAAGGTGATATTTGGCATTCTTTCTTTAAATCTAATTTCAAAGTAACTGTCATACAAAAAAGATCAGACCACCATATGCATAAAAAAGTTTAGTTTTTTATGCGATCAGAAGAGTGGGATCTACATTTGTATTTATTACAGTTCCATTAACAGTAAACATCATACCTCTACTTTATGGAATGGAAGCAACGGAATTAAAATTTGCATATATCAGTAAAAAAAATAAATAACTGTGCTTGCAGGATGCTTTGGGAAAACAAATTATGAAAATTAAAACAAATGTAAACAATTAAAAATCCATAGTGTTTTAGTGGATTGATACAGTATCACAAACCATAATACCGTGAAACTCAAGTGCATTAATATTATCTTACACTCCTACTCCTGACTGTGGCAAATACATCGTCTAGACCAGTGGTTCCCAACTGGTGGGTCGGGGTTCAAATGTGGGTTGCAGGTCCATTCTGAATGGGCGGCAAGTGACTCGCAAATGTGTCAAGTTTGTAAAAAATATACTTTATTTTGAAGCAAAGTGAATTTTTGGCACAGAGCTTTTATTTTGAAGTGCTGTTTTCTCCTGTAGAGTGATTGACTAACGAACAGCTACTTAACAGAGACAGCCAACTAGCTCAACAACATGAATAAACACAAGTATGACACTGAATATATCAAACTGTGTGGACCTTGAAGTAATGACTAAGGAGAAATCTGGACCCCATGGTTGGACCAGTTGGGAACCACTGGTTTAGACTGTCTGTAGACATTAATGGTGATGATATAAAGTAAATCAGAACTATCTTTAGAACATCTGATTAACATTCAAGAAGTCCTGATTTGCACTGTTTTGATTTACTTCCACAGATAATTACTAGTATTATTTTCTTTTGAGTATACATCTGCTTAAAAGTGCAAATGACAGACTCGATTGTAAAAGCATCTCACCGTTATAAAGTTGCAGACCATAAGAAGCCAAAAAGGAAAGATATTATAATTTAGAATACCATCTACACACCTTTAGCACAATGTACACATTTCATATTTGGTACCCAACTGTGCATCTTACCAGCAGCTGACTGATCTCATCGGGCCTCTTGTGGACTACAGAGACTCCGTTGACCTCCCTGAGTTCATCTCCAACATGGACCAAACCTATGGGGGCGAGAGACAGAATGAAGACACAGACTAAGTGGAAACAAATATCCGTGGCATTTAAAAGAGTCCTCAGTGAGCTTTCCCGGGTCTTTTGGGTTTATCGTTCGCATTTTAACATCAGTTTCTTTGTCAGATCCACAGACTGCCTCTATCATCAGCTGGGATCTGTTTGCTGCAGCCACTACAATGGAATCAAAGGCTGGAAGAAGTCAGATCAATACGCTTCCCCCTCAGGGCAGAGGAGCACATAGCAGACGCACGTTTGTGCAATCACACTAGCATAATGTATGCATTTACAAAGAGACCTGAGGCTAACTCTGAAGTCTCTCTAAAGCTTCAGTCTCTGCACTGACGAGAGCTTTTGCCATCACACGACACAGCAAGAAAACGGAGGGAGACATAAATGATTAATGGATACAAACAATGATTGGTTTACTTTCCCAGCATGCATGTCTCTAATGCTAACACACACTTACACACGCACCTGCATGTGGCTGATATTTCCATGGTAACGCCCATTAAAGGATCTCTGCTGAGTCTATATCGTGTGGTTGATTCTCTGGGGACTCGTGGAGAGCTTTGGGTATCAGCAACAACCGCACCATCCCTTTCATTTCCCTCCTCCTTCTGCTGAAGCTGCATCTCTCCCACCGCAGCTTTGATCTCACTGTCATCGCTGTATCAGGTTTATATCTCGCACATATATGAATTCTGTTTGTCAAACAATGTCACTAATTTTCACTGGCTGCAGGGAGACAAATGCCATCATACTGCGGTAATAATCAGGAGTCTCCTGAGGCGTCCTGAGGGCTGTGCTACATTACTGCATTTCCTGTCTGTCTTCCAAGCAGGGGCGGCTTTTTTTGCATGTCATCCCTGAGTTGTTTCTTTAAATGTCCCCAAAAGTCCTTTAACACCAGGCACCAGCAGTTGACGTTAAAGTTGGCATTGATTTGCACACATGGAAGGGTTTGTGACTTCAAAAGGGGAAAACAGGTGAGCACACCTCTACAGGTCAGTGGTTCCAAACCTGTTCTGCCTGTGACCCCTTAATACAGAGCAACATCTACTTGTTACACCTCGTCACAGGGTGCATGTTCGTAAGTTGTGAGCATGGTTGTAGCTAACAAACAAGGACACCAGAATCATGTCCTCTCTATCACTTGTAGGAATTTAGGGGTTTTAACAAACTGAAATGAGTTTACATTCTGTAGTTATACACAAATAACACTTGGTAGTTTTCTTCCTAAGATCCTGTGCCCAGTTGCACAAATCACCTTCTTTCTCCCTAAGTATGACACTTAAGGCTTAATTTCTCCTTAGCTGAGGGATTTACACAGTTGCACAGAATCCCTTAAAAGGTTTTCTTAGTTAAGGAAAAATGCTAACTTGTTAACTGCGTTGAAAAAGATTTTACGGTGGTACAAGTTTCCATGGAAATTTTTTTTTGCTTGTGACGCCTGTTTTCATCTCACAGAGTTGGCCTATTGTTAGACAGTCATAAAATGGCAGAAGAAAAGAAGACAAGAAAACCTTATTGGTCAGAGGAGGAAGAGATAAACTTCTGGAAGAATACAATCATAGAAAGCACATCCTACGAAGTAAATCTGATCCCCACACACTAGGAAACAGAAAATGATTGTAGGAAGAAATTGCAGTGATGGTCCTGTGCAGAGGTAGGTTTGTGGGAATATTGTTTTTAGAGTAAGTTTGGTTTATCTACATTTTGCCAACAGGTAAGTGCACATTAGAGCTGCAACTAACGATTATTTTCATTGTCGACTAATCTGTTGATTATTTCTTCGATTAGTCGACTAAATCACTTCATCAAAAAATGTGTTAAAATGTTGAAAAATGTCGGTCTGTCTCTCCCAAACCCCAAAACTATGTCATCTAATGTCTTGTTTCGTACTCACGCCAAAGGGTTTTAGTTCACCATCATGGGAGAGTGTGTAAAGCTGCCAATATTTGAACGTATGAAGCTGCAGTAAGAGTATTTTGGGGTACTTTTATAGTACTTTTCTATGAAAAATGACTCAGACCAATTAGTCGACTACAAAAATAGTCACCGATTATTCTAATAGTCAATTAGTCATTGATTAGTTGACTAATCGTTGCAGCCCTACTGCACATATGAAGTAAAAAGACAGTATTAGGTTAAGTGTTGGTTTTAAGATTTATAACATCAGGAATATGGACTATTACGCAGAAGAGCTTTTTGATGAAAAGAATTAAAAAGATGAATCAATGTCATTAGATAAAACATCTGTGGCAATTAACACCTCACAAATTCAAATTTAAGACTATTTAATAACTTCTAAAGTCTATCATTCTTAAAATTAAATTCAAGACTTTTTTCATTATTTACATTTTATTAGGTTTTCTATTAAAGAATACAGAACTCAAAATGAAACGTGTCAACCGGACACAAAAGTAAGTAAGAACTAGGGGAGGATCCTTTTTAAATAAAAAACAAAACCTGCATACATATAGATGTGT